GAAAGAAAGAAAGAAAGAAGGAAGATAAAATAAAATTATTAAAATAAAAAATAATTATTAAGAAAAAAATTTTTTTAAAAGAAAAAAAAACCGGACGGATAGAACCCTAGGACAAATGGTGGAAGCAAAGCTATACAGACAAAATCTCACACAGAAGCATACACATACTCACAAAAAGAGAAAAAGGGGTAAAAATCATAAATCTTGCTCTCAAAGTCCACCCCCTCAATTTGGGATGATTTGGTGTCTATTCAGGTATTCCACAGATGCAGGGTATATCAAGTTGATTGCGGAGCTTTAATCCGCTGTTCCTGAGGCTGCTGGGAGAGATTTCCCTTTCTCTTCTTTGTTCTCACAGCTCCCGGGGCTCAGCTTTGGATTGGGCCCCGCCTCTGCGTGTAGGTCGCCGGAGGGCGTCTGTTCTTCGCTCAGGCAGGACGGGGTTGAAGGAGCAGCTGCTTCGGGGACTCTGGCTCACTCAGGCCGGGGGGAGGGAGGGGTACGGAATGCGGGGCTAGCCTGCGGCGGCAGAGGCCGCGGGACGTTGCACCAGCCTGAGGCGCACCGTGCGTTCTCCCGGGGAAGTTGTCCCTGGGTCCCGGGACCCTTGCAGTGGCGGGCTGCACAGGCTCCGCGGAAGGGGTGTGTGGATAGTGACCTGTGCTCGCACACAGGCTTCTTGGTGGCGGCAGCAGCAGCCTTAGCGTCTCACGCCCTCTCTGGGGTCCGCGCTTTTAGCCGCGGCTCGCACTCGTCTCTGGAGCTCCTTTAAGCAGCGCTCTTAATCCCCTCTCCTCGCGCACCAGGAAACAAAGAGGGAAGAAAAAGTCTCTTGCCTCTTCGGCAGGTCCAGACTTTTCCCCGGACTCCCTCCCGGCTAGCCGTGGCGCACTAGCCCCCTGCAGGCTGTGTTCACGCCGCCAACCCCAGTCCTCTCCCTGCGCTCCGACAGAAGCCCGAGCCTCAGCTCCCAGCCCCCGCCCACCCCGGCGGGCGAGCAGACAAGCCTCTCGGGCTGGTGAGTGCCGGTGGGCACCGATCCTCTGTGCGGGAATCTCTCCGCTTTGCCCCCCGCACCCCTGTTCCTGCGCTCTCCCCCGTGGCTCCGAAGCTTTCCGCCTCCGCCACCCGCAGTCTCCGCCCGCGAAGGGGCTTCCTAGTGTGTGGATACCTTTCCTCCTTCACGGCTCCCTCCCACTGGTGCAGGTCCCGTCCCTATTCTTTTGTCTCTGTTTATTCTTTTTTCTTTTGCCCTACCCAGGTACGTGGGGAGTTTCTTGCCTTTTGGGAGGTCTGAGGTCTTCTGCCAGCGTTCAGTAGGTGTTCTGTAGTTCCACGTGTAGATGTATTTCTGGTGTATCTGTGGGGAGTAAGGTGATCTCCGCGTCTTACTCTTCCGCCATCTTCCCCTCGTCTCCTGAGATTTTGTATGGATAAAGTTAGTAATAATTTAAACCGAAGGAATTCAAGAAAATTCTTACTAACATATTCGGAGCAATAGAGTGGTTCTGTGTTTGTTTTAGGGCAAGGGCAAAAGATTTATTAAGTCAGAGACCTAGCCCTGGATTTTCCCACTCACCAAGGGACAGGCTCTCGAGGAGCACCTGCAGACAGTGGCATGAATAAGCCTCCAAGTTCCAACATGCATTTTGTGTCATGCCCAGTCCATCCTCTGAAGTCCACCGCACAGACCCTCAGTGACCAGTATTTGTAGTAGTTTTAAAAAATATTTATTAAAATATTTTAAATTAAAAAAATTTTTTTATATTGGAGTATAGTTGATTAACAATGTGATAATTTCAGGTGTACAGCAAAGTGATTCAGTAATGCATATACATGTATCTATTCTTTTTCAAATTCTTTTCCCATTCAGGTTGTTACATAATATTGAGCAGAGTTCCCTGTGCTATACAGTAGGTCCTTGTTGGTTATCCATTTAAAATATAGCCACCATTCGTAGTATTGATCAGAGCTTCTCCTTTCCCTTCCTCAGGATTCCCTTCGGCACTGCAACTCTGGTTAATTCTCCACTTTCACTTTCCTTCCTTGAAATTTTCCATCAGTGTAAACACCAAGGTCCAGGAACTAAAAAACCTTTTTCAGCAGGCTTTTGTTAAGTATCTATGAGGTGTTAGAGAATGTTGGTGTGTATAAATGAAAAGTGCATGTTATTTGACCTCAGATATTTGAGTCGGGTGGAGGGAGACAGAAGGGTACAAAATCTATGTGTAAAGGGCTACAAAGAAACTATAATAATAGTAGAAGTTGCATTCTCAATGAACTAACTACTTCATTTATCTTACTTTCCTTCTGAATTCATAATCTTTCCCCAGACAAATAGGTATGCTACAGTATGTTTCATTTCTGTCTTGCTCTTTTCTTTAATGACAAGCTTGAAACGAACCTTTTAGCTACATAGTCAGCCCTCCCTATTTACACTTCCTCACTTAAGAAATCTTCAACTCCTTTCATTCTGGTTTCTATTGCCACCAGTCCAATGAATTAGTCATGTTCAGATCACTAATGATACCCTTTTAAAAAAGCTTAGTGGTGGGGCTTCCTGGGGCTTCCCTGGTGGCGCAGTGGTTGAGAGTCCGCTTGCCGATTCAGGGGACACAGGTTCGTGCCCCGGTCCGGGAAGATCCCACATGCCGCGGAGCGGCTGGGCCCGTAAGCCATGGCCGCTGAGCCTGTGCGTCCAGAGTCTGTGCTCTGCAACGGGAGAGGCCACAGCAGTGAGAGGCCCATGTACTGCAAAAAAAAAAAAAAAAAAAAAAAGTTTAATGGCCATTCATATTCTCATGTTATTAAACTTCTGCTTAGCTGACAAGTTGGTCCCGTGCTTGTCAAAATTTTCATTGAGAAAGCAACTTCTACATTATGCTATTGTTTTGCTTTTCTTACACTGGTACCATACTGAATTAATTTGTTGAACATTTTTAATATTGTAAGGTTACTACCTATTGTTATTCTTGAAGTCAATTAGATAAAATTACCTCTTGTATCTGCCCAAGAAAATAGTCAAGAAATGACTTCTCAGCTGAAGATTCATTGGATGGCATCACCCAGCAACGACTCCACAGCTCCGGTCTCTGAATTCCTCCTCATCTGCTTCCCCAGCTATCAGAGTTGGCAGCACTGGCTGTCCCTGTCCCTCAGCCTCCTCTTCATTCTGGCCATGGGGGCCAGTGCCACCCTCCTGATCACCATCCAGCTGGAGGCCTCTCTGCACGAGCCCATGTACTACCTGCTCAGCCTGCCCTCCCTCCTGGGCATGGTGCTCTGCCTCACTGCCATCCCCAGGGTCCTGGCGATCTTCTGATTTGACCTCAGATCCATCAGCTTCTCTGCCTGTTTCCTCCAGATGTTCATCATGAATAATTTCCTCGCCATGGAGTCCTGCACACTCATGGTCATGGCCTATGACCGCTATGTGGCCATCTGCCATCCACTGAGATACCCATCCATCATCACTAACCACTTTGTGGCCAAGGTTAGTGTCTTCGTTGTCATACGAAATGCCCTCCTCACTGTACCTATTCCCATTCTCCCTGCCTAGCTCCTCTACTGTGGGAAAAATGTCATTGCGAACTGCATCTGTGCCAACCTGTGTCCAGCTCTCCTGTGACAATTTCACCCTGAACAGAATCTACCAATCTGTAGCTGGTTGGACCTTACTAGGCTCAGATTTCATCCTCATCTTCATCTCCTACATCTTCATCCTAAGAGCTGTGCTCAAGTTCAAGGCTGAGGGGGCTGCAGTCAAGGCTCTGAGCATGTGTGGCTCCCACGCCATCCTCATCCTCTTCTTCAGCACCGTCCTGCTGGTTGTGGTGTTGACACATGTGGCCAGAAAGAGCATCCCCGTGGACACCCTGATTCTGCTCAATGTTCTTCACCACTTCATATCCCTTGCCTTGAACCCTATTGTATATGGGGTTCAAACCAAAGAGATAAAACAAGGAATTCAGAAATTGCTGCAGAGAGGGATGTGAATATGTAAAATAGATTTCTAATTCTCTCTCCCCTTCCTTCTCAGTGATTTTGCCCAGACGTGAGCTAGAGAAAAGCCTGACCCAGGTTTCTTCCTTTATTCTTACCTATTTCAGGATGGGGTAGGCAAGAGGAAGAAACTCATTTTTCTTGAGTAATTGCTTTGAGCCTGGGCAATTATAGTGAAGTAAATTAATCTTCACAACGTTCTTGTAGGTACTATTACTTCTATTTTACATAGCAGAAAAAATATAATTTTAAGAGAACAAACTGCTGGAGATCATATATCTGGGAAGTGATAGAGCAGAGATTAAAATCTAGGCTCTACAGCCTGGTGTCTTTCTAGAGAAATGCCCCTTCTTGTGCAATTGAAGCTGGAGACCAGGCCTCTACCCTACTCTCCTTTGCCTGTGTTTTGTCCTTCTGGATGTCCATAGGTGTTTCCTGCTTGTACCTACTATTTTGAGAGCCAGGGGGTTCTCAGAGAAGGCAGAGTCCTATCTGACAAAGCATCTGCAGGACCAAAGGGAAAGAGCACTCATAATAATATAAAGCAATGCCAGCCTCCTACTATGTCCTACACAGCCTCACAACCTTCAGGGAGTCTAGAGAATGAGGATACAGGTTGAGAGAGGGGTATGGAGGGGGGATACCAATGGGGTAAAAATTGGGAAATCAGGTCAGTGTGTTGACCACTTCTCCACGTGTTTAAGCTGCACATGCAGTGAACTGAAAGTCAAGTCTTACTTGTTGACTCTTCCCAAGAGCTCTAGTTGAAGGTGGGAAGACACAGCACAGTGTCAGGTTTCTGGGTAACAGTGGGTCCAGTCAGGAGAAAATAAATCCCACTGGCTATTTTAATTTTTTTAAATTTATTTACTTTTTATTTATTTATTTTTTTTGCGGTACGCGGGCCTCTCACTGTTGTGGCCTCACCCTTTTGCAGAGCACAGGCTCCGGACGCGCAGGCTCAGCGGCCATGGCTCATGGGCCTAGCCACACCGTGGCATGTGGGATCTTCCCGGACCGGGGCACAAACCCGTGTCCTCTGCATCGGCAGGCGGACTCTCAACCACTGTGCCACCAGGGAAGCCCCACCACTGGCTATTTTTAGAGAATTTAAGGTAAGCACTTGATTAAATAAGTATTGCAGACTTGAAAACCAAAAAAAAAAAAAAAAAACCAAAAAAAAACAAATGGAGGGGGATGCTGAGGTAACACAGAGATAGTACCTGCAGGAAGAACCTTATACTTGGAATTCCTTGGTGGTCCAGTGGTTAGGACTCCACACTTCCACTGCAGGGGTCACAGGTTTGATCCCTGGTTGGGGAACTAAGATCCCATATGCTGCGTGGTGTGACCAAAAACAAAAACCAAAAAACACTGGTCATTAAAAAAAAAAAGAACCTTATACTTGGGAAGCATTTGGTCATTAGGAGGCAACAGGTTGGTGGTGGGCTCGTTGAACTACTCTCACAACTCTGAGGACGAGTGCTGCCTCTGAATGCTACTAGTGTCACAGGACCTCCGAGGATGTGCCCTTACAGCCTGGACTGAGACCTCTGAGGTAGGACTCTATCCTGCTGGCGGTATCTCTTAGGGAGTTCAGTGAGGCTGATTTGATCCCGGAAGTTCTAAAGCCCAAACAAAACCCAAACCCAAACCCAAACAAAATCCAAAACCCAACCAACCAACCAACCAACCAATCCTGGAGGCTACAACCAATTCCACTGCCAGGAGGAAGAGTCATTGCTGAGAGAAACCGACGAGAGGAAGAGACAGGAGGGACCAAATATCCCCTCCTCTGCTTCAACCCTTCAGTCTTTCTCTGTTGCTCTCTGTAGGTGGAAACTAAGAGGGAGCCGGCTGGCCAAGGGCCCTATAGTCTAAGTCCCAGCATCACAAGATGTTTGGCTGGGAGGGACTAGGGCTGAGAGACAAGAGTTAATTATTGGCACAGCTCCGATTGCTTGAGTCTGAAAACTTAGTACCACATGAAGGACAGCTATAGCAGAACTCTGCAGTACAGCATGCCTCCCAGTGAGACAGAGACAGAATCAAGTCCTCTGGTGCAGACAAAAAAAGAGATGTGACATAATGCTATAGGGGCAGCTTTCATAGTTAGGAAAGAATTTGGCATTAAGCCGGCAACAGGAATGGAGATCAACTGCCCCACCCTGTGGGGATTAAAGTAACTGCAACTCAATGCTGATGTGGGTTCCAGGGGCAGATTCTTCTAAAGCCACACTCAATAACAGTGGGAAAGAAAAATGACATCCATTTCCCTACAAGAAGGGGCTCTTAATGCCCTCAGACATGCTTCTTATTTACTCAAGGCAGAGCCACAGGTATGATTCAGTATTTATCATTTTTTTAAAAAGAAATTCTTTAATAGGAATTCTCTCCATCTCATGGTTGCCGGAAGAATTTTATGCACCACCATCTCCTACTGTCCCTCAGAGGACAGAAGGGCCAACTTCAATACCACTTGCCTAATGATACTAATAATCTCAGTGTCCTTATATATTGATAATAATTATAGTAATAATCATGAAATTAAAAGCTCAAATATTTTGAACACTTGCAATATACCAGTGTTTGTACATGATAACATTTAATTTTCGTAAGAGCCTTCCGTGGATGATTATAAAAATGAGTTTTAAAAAAAGATCTAACAGAAAGAATATAATTCATAGGAATATGGTACATATTGTCAAGGAATATTTTCAAACATCTGGTCTACTCTGTTGGTCTGTAGGAGTGCTTTCTCTACCTTTGTTATGCTTTCCCAACTGCAAACCCAGAAAGAACTCAAATAAGAGTCTGTTAGTTGGACAGAATTCGGGTCTTAATTCCTCAGCTAGGCTTCTCTAGATCAATGCAAACAGCTGACATAATTATGAGAAGCTTGACTCAAACTGGGAGCACACGGGGATAGATACTACCAACTTGTTGTAGGGATTTGTAAGGATGTAGGGACCAACACACCAGTTGTCATTCCTCACAGTAACTAGCACAATTTTTGCACATCCAGGGGCTCAGTGAACATCCCCTTATTTACGAGACTGAAGTGATAAGTCAAGAGTTGACAGTGTCTACAGTGCATCTCTAGTTTCATAGAAGCAGGGCACAAACAGATATGCCATGTACATAAGGGTGGCTCTCTGCTCTGGTTCTAAGGAGAGAAGTTAAGAGGACCACAGTTTCTCACAGAATTGTCAAGCACAGTGCAGGTGGTTCAAGGAATGGGACACAGTGGTCCTAAGGTAGGCTTTGGGGTGAATCTACATGTAGAAAAAGGGGATGGAGGAACAGGATAGTCAAAGAGCCCAGTCTTGAATGGCAGACACAACTCTGCTGTGAAGTTCCCATAGCATTAAAAAACGTGCTTAGTAGAGATCTCTGAACACTGTCTTGAGTGGATAGAATGAATTAGCATAAACTGAAGGCATTTTAAGTTGGTGGGGTATAAATGTACAAACTTCCAGTTATAAATAAGTATCAAAGATGCAATGTCCAGCATGATGACTCTAGTTAAGGTATATTTGAAAGTTGCTAAGAGAGTAGACCCTAAAAGTTCTCATCACAGGAAAAAAGCATTTTTCTTTTTCTTCTTTTTGGTACCTATATGAGATGTTGGATATTAACGAAACTCTTGTGGTAGTCATTTCACAACATATGTATAACTTAAACTTATAAGTGCTGTAGGTCAATTATATCTCAATAAAACTGAAAGAAAAAATAAAATAAATAAAATGGTGGGATACAGATATTTTCTCAGTTTAACTGAGATCTATGAAGAATCACGGTGCTACAATAGGCTGACTATCATCCAACTGTCCTGGAAGGGGTGCACTAAGAACACGAGAAGGGGGGAGAAGTGACCTACTAAGGCCACTTACTTTACTCCCCGGGTTTGCAGGTTAGTCACATTTGCATGAGGAACACAGAGCCTTTTGAGAAAGAAGATCTGAAACCACTGAACACTGCTATTCAGGATCAGAGCAGATTTAAATAAAGATGCAGTGGCAAGAGAGAGCAACAAGTTCCCTGGAATTAAATTATCTGGAGGAAAAAGGGAGTCTATGCTGGTGACCAATGCCCATAACAAAGACCGAAGTATTGCTGAGAGAACAAAACTACGTTTTCCACAGTGGAGTTTGGGGACCTCTTAGTACATAGTCATCTGATACTCTACTGTGCTTTGGGATATATTCTAAGCATACGGGTGTGAAGGATGAGAGCTGTGACCTCAGAGGCAGACTGTGGAACCTCAAGGCTGTGCAGCCAGGGAGTCTAAACAGGATGGCGTTACTGCAAGGCGGAGAGAAACGCTTTGTTGCTGACATGTCAGTATTGCTGCCCTGTGGCTATAAGTAGGAATAGCAATACTTTAGGTCTCAACCTCTGCTTGTTTCTGAAAGGGGACTGACAACTCTGAAAAACTGGCGTTCCAACACTCAGGGGGAGTGGTAGTGAGTAGCTTCAAGAAGAAAATACTGTACTTCCTGCTCATAAGCACATGGGGAGCTGAATGATTAATTTTAAAAATAAAAGGGATATAATTTATTCTCTGGTTTCCTTTTTTCTTCTGGTTTCCTTTTTTTCAGTGACATTTAAAAACAATGTCAAATCAATAGCATGAATCAGGTATTCACAAGGGTATATTGTATTATTATATTTAATAAGATGTTATATTAGTAGTATTTTGCTAAGGACTGTATGTAATAACAACATTTATTTATTTCTTCATCTGCGCATCTAAAATTTAGTTATTGAGTGCTTTATGTGTGATGAGCACAGTAGTGATTAGCATAGATATTACCAAGAGGTAAACTACTTTCAGAGAGATTACGGTCAAAATAGCCCATGAATTATCATTATTCCCAATTTTGCAGGCTAGGCAACTGAGTAAAAAGATAAAATTCTAATGGTCATTCAACTAACAGGGACAAGGATGAAAAGAGATAAATTAGGCATATTTGCTACTAAATCTACTTTTCCTATTGTATTGTCTAGGGATTGAGCTACACTTTTTGACTTCAATTAGATAGATTTGTAGTTTTCTGAAGTTTTTCATGTTCCAGATTATAGATATAGATAGTGCACATCAAAACCCGTCATGTATTGAATTAGTAAATACACGTAAAGTTAGTTACTACAATAAAGGTATCACAGGAACTTAGCATAGTATAAGTTTACTTCTCATCCACATCCTGATTTCAGTGCATGTGGGCTTTGCTTCATGTCAACATTTAGGGACCTATGCTTCTATCAGATGTGGGTATTCCACATTACCCTTTGAGACCTCCACAGGTCCTTTTGAATCTGGCTGTCACACAGTGAAGGGAGAGAAAGTGCAGGATCTTGTGGGATGTTTCAGGGGCCAATCTGGGAGAGATTTACATCATTTTCTCTATCATTCCATTGACCAGAATCCTCACATAAATCTAGCTGCCTAGAGGAGAGGCCAGGTGACTATTTATTTCTTAAGAGAAATGACAAAAGAGAGACTCTCACATGTAAAACGTTCATAACCTCTTCCCAAGTGAGACTACCCAAACTCTCATCTAGTCACTGTATGCAGCAGAGTCCAAGATCTACAGGAGTGTGTGGTCATCTCCATCCTGATGTGGTTCCTCTTGGACCAATCATCCTCTTTCTCCCATTACATATTTTGCGTACCGCAAAAGAAAAAAAAATTAATGTTTTTATGTATGTACATAATTAAATTAAAAAGTCAGTGAAATAATTACTTTTCTCAGTGTTTTAGACAATGAAACTGAAATATGGGGAGTTTAACTGCTCAATTCATACAGCTGGCAATAGCCCAGCCAGGATACTAAACCTGGCTTCCACACTTAAAATCCAAGCCTCTTTACACTGAAAGTGAGTGTCTGGAGGCTCTTTCCCAAGAGTATATGGCATATTGATCAATCTATCACTCAGTGGAGAGTAGGAAGAATGAGGCATAGTGATCATTATAACATGTTTATTATTTGGTGAACTAAGCAATCCATTTGGCTAGGAAAAAAAGACTTTGCTGCAAAAGGAAAGTGAAGTGATGATACTAAGCAAGGTAGTATTTTCCCACAACAGGAAAAAAAATCTCAGAAATATCTTCTTGCTGATACTAGTTGGCTGGAGAAATGTAGTACAGAACTTCTCAGACTCCTTTTAAGTCAGTAGTGTATCTGGGAAGTCAAGGAGACTGCTCTCACCTCAGCCGTGAGGAAGCAAGACACATGGACCCATAAATACCCTCCTTTGACTTAATCTACAGACAAATCAATATTTACTTTTTCAGAAGTATGTGTCTAAGAAAAGGCTCAGCCTATTTCTCAAGCAGGACACAGTTCTTAATTCTATTATAAACATCCAAGTAAATGTCATAGATTCAGTGACTTTGTTGAGGAAATTCACCAAGGTCTGTTTGTCCCTAGAATATTGACTCCTCTAGTCTGCCTTCCCAATTATGTCCCAACAACAGTGCCTCCTGACAGACAACAAACTGCATAAACTCAAAGGCTGAGTAGAAAATCATTGCTTGTTTGAATCATATACGGGACTCCTGATGTCACCATGGCAGAATGGCAAGGCAGGTCTCAGGAATACATTTAGATGGTCCTGGGCAGGGGACTGGGTCTGGGGAAGGATTCAAATCCCTGCATTCCATCCATTGAACTTCTATCCCTGAGATGCAGCTTACCGACGTTCCAGCCAGTGCCTTCTCTTCCTTCTTACCACAGGTGATGGGGAATCAATGGAAAACATGGAAGTGATCTAAAAGTGTCCCTTTGCCTCTCTCTCTTATGAGTCTAAAATAAAAGATGGTGAATTATTTAATAAAACATCTGTAAGAGGCAAACAAGATGTAGATCAGTCTCTAGGGCAGACAGTGTCTCAGAGAGACCAGGAGGACCACAGAAACCTCCAGAGGTTCTCCTACCACTTCTCACCATTCTCACTCCACAAGTTGGATTGTAGCTTGGCAATCAATGTATATATATGATAGAGTCGAGGCTAATTTTTCCGAACAGTATTCTTTTTCCTCGTAAACACAAATAAATTTACATTTTCAGACATACCTACAATTGTGTGAGGCTATAAGACTAAGCCTGTCCAAGGGAATGGCATGCAGCTCTTCCAGGAATGGCTTTTACCACCTCCTTGATGCCCTCTGCACTCTATCCGCCTCCTCTGCTTAGTTGCAGATAATCCACTGGAAGACACGAACCCATGGAAAATGGTGGAACCACACAGTGGAGGAGGCTAGGACACTGAGTGACTGCAAGGAAGAGAGCTTTCCCCTTCCACATTGCATTGGACTGGAAGTTATTAAAAAATATAAAATTGTTTTGTGTTAAAACACTGACAAATTGGAATTGATTTTTTGATAGCTGGAAGGTTATTCTAACTAAGGCTGCAGACAATGAGAAAATTGACGTCCAGTGCTAGAAAGATCACCTAACAAGTTGACCTGTCTACTAAATGGCAATTCTAGGGAAAAGGTTGAAAGAATTCAAAATAATTATGTGTGTTTGAGATTGTTGATTTCACTTGACAAGTTATTATGAGAAATAAATGAGGTTAGCAGAAAATTAGCTGGTTTTCAAGCAGAAATGAATCATAATACATAAAGGCCATAAATATAAAGCCTTGAAGAATTTTCCTAGTACTTGGGAAGTCAAAGGTTAAGAGAAAGATTTAGAATGCCTTTAAGTAACAAAGACTCATAGAAAGCATCCCTGAGAAGAGACTACGTTATGTGGATAGCTGTCCTACTAAAGTCTGATAGCCTTAGGTAGACACAATTATGTAGAAAAGCAGTGGCATGGGGAAAGCAAAAAGACATTAAAAAAAGGAAAAAAAAATAAATTTTACCTAAGAAAATCCTTGTTAAGTTTCGAGAGGGTTCGTTGCCAAAGAAACATGAGCTAGGCTTTTAAAAATGCTTTTGATTAAAAATTAAAATAATTTTTAATATTTTACAGACATGAAGCAGTCTCCATATGTAGTATCTGCAAAAGAAGTCACATTCTCCAATGTCTGCTTCATATAAGGCAATGGGGGACATTGAAGAAGGTACAATCCCACATATGCAGAAAAAGAGACATAGAAAACAATGGCCAGGAGAGATTCTCCCAGAGTCATATTCAGGACCCAGTCAGGGAACTTATTCTACTGTCAGGAGATAAAAGTATTGCAAGGCCTGCCCCCAAAGTATTCCAGAATTACCACTGACAAGTTCTTGTTAAATGTATTCCATGTTTCACTTCAACTGGGAATCTTTTTGACTGGTATTCAGTTTCTGCTCCACCATTAAACATGTGGTAGTAGGAGGAAGATGGCTCGTCCAAGAGAAACCACATCAGGACCTCATGGAAATGACCACACACTCCTGGAGATCTTGGACTCTATGCTGCATATAGTGGCTAGATGACAGTTCGCTTAGCCTCATTTGGGAAGAGGTTACGTATGTTTTACATGTGAGGGTCTCTCATATAATTTCTCTGGAGAAATAAATATTTAGTCACCTGTTGTCTCCAGCTAGATTTATGTGAAGTTTCTGGCCAATGGAATGACAGAGAAAATGATGTAAATCTCTCCCAGATTGAGTCCCTACAACCTCCTACAAAATCTTGCACATTCTCTCCCTTCACTTGCCTGACAGATTCAGAAGAACCAGTGGCAGTCTGTAAGGGACAAGAACATGAAGGAGCCAACTAATGAAAGAAACATGGGTCTCTAAATGCTGATGTGAAACAAAGCCCACATTCATTGGAATGGTATGTGGATGAGAAGTAAACTTCTATTACATTGTTACTGTGATATCTTTGTGGTAGAAACTAACTTTACTTGCATTGACTAATTCAATATATGTTGGGTTGCGTAGGGCTCTGCCTTTGTTATTTACAATCTGGAGCCTGAAAAACTTTAGAAAACTACAAAACTATCCAGTTGAAGTCTAACTATGCAGCTCACTCCTCGAAAATGTAATAGGAAAAATAGATTTATGTAGCAAATGTGCCTAATGTCTCACTCTTGACTCTGGTCACTATTAATTAAATGATCATTAGTAATTTATCTTTTTGCTCAATTGCCTAATCTGCAAGATTGGGAATAATGATAATTCATGGGCTATTTTGAACATAATCTCTTTGAAAGTAGTTTACTTCTTGGTAACTACCTATGCTAACCACTACCGTGCTAATCACACAAAAAGGCCTCGATAACTAATTTTTGGTTGAAAAATGAAGAAATGAATAAATGTTACTATTATATATAATTTGTCCTTAGTCAAACATTGCTAATGTAATATGTTATAAAATACTGAGATTAAAAAAAATACTGAGATATACTCTATCCTTATGAATACTTGACTCATGTCATGGATTTGATATTGACTCTTCAATGTCAATGGAGAAAAGAAAATCAGAGTATAAACTGTTATATATCTTTTATTTTTAAAATTAATCATTAAAATCCCCACGTGCCTTATGATCATGAAGTACACTATTTTCTTTTTTAAGCTATCCCCTGACCCTCCAGTAGCATTGGAGATCCCAGGAGTTTTCTGATTTCAAAGTTGTCAGTTTCCTTTCAGACACCAAGCAGAAGTTAACTGGAATCACTTCAGTATTGCTATTCTTGTTAATAGCCACGAGGAGGCACTGTTGAGTTGCCAACAATGAAGCATTTATTTACTCCCTGACTTTTTTACTTATTAATGCCCTGCTGTTTAGACTCCCTGACTGCCAGTCTTGATGTCCCACACTAGGCCTCTGAGGTCACAGCTCCCATCATTAACACCCATATGCTTAGAATATATCTGAAGCATATCACATGACTATGTACCAAGAGGCTCCCAAACTCTACTTTATGATATGTGGAATACACAGTTTTATTTCCTCAACAATATTTAGGTCTTTGTTTTGAGCATTGGTCACCAGGATAGATTTCTTTTTCCTCTAGATATTTAATTCCCAGGTAACCTGTTGCTCTCTCTTGCTACTGGGTCTTGATTTAAATTTGCTCTGTTCCTGAATACTGTTCAATGGTTTCAGATCTTTTTTCTCAAAAGAATCTGTGTTGCTCATGCAAATTTCTCATGCAAATTCAACAAACCTGCAAACCAGGGAGTGAGGTGGTAGGTCCCACCCTCCCCTTCTCTTGTTCTTAATACACCTTCTTCCAGTACAGTTGGACCATAGTCAGACTATAATAGCAAAGTGACTCTTAACAGATTTTCTCAGTTAAATTGACAAAACATCTACAGTCTACTAATTTCAAATGCATTAATTAATACTAAATCTAGCCAACCAAGACTGGGCTAATAGGACGTTTTTGGGGTTTTTTTGGCGGTACGCGGGCCTCTCACTGTTGTGGCCTCTCCCGTTGCGGAGCACAGGCTCCAGACGCGCAGGCTCAGCAGCCATGGCTCACGGGCCCAGCCGCTCCGCGGCATGTGGGATCTTCCCGGACCGGGGCACGAACCCACGTCCCCTGCATTGGCAGGCGGACTCTCAACCACTGCGCCACCAGGGAAGCCCTAGGACGTTTTTTAATACTGTTGGAACTTCATGGCAGAGTTGAATCTGCCTTTTAAGATCTGGCTCTTTGAGTAATCCTGCCCCCCACCCCCACCCTGTCTCCTTTATCTGTATGTAGACTCATCCCAAAGCCTGTCTTAGGCCTATTGTGTCCAGTTCCTTGAAGCACCTGCACCGGGCTTGACAATGCTGTGAGAACGTGTGGTCCTCTTTAGCCTCTCTCCTTAGAACCAGGGCAGAGAGCCGCCCTTCAGTATGTAGCTTGTCTGCTTAGAGTTAGGGCTTGACTTCTATGGAACTAGAAATCCACTGTAGACACTATCTGTCAACTCTACACTTAGGCACTTCAATACCATCAGTAAAGGAATGTTTACTGAGCCCCTTCATGTGCCAAAATTGTGCTAGTTATTGTGAGGAATAACAGCTGGTGTCCCTACATCCTTTACAAATCCCTATAACAAATTGGTAGCATCTATCCCTGTGTATACCCACTTTGAGTCAAGCTTCTGATAATTGTGTTGCCATTTGCAATGATTTAGAGAATCTGTATTTTCTCTATTTTCTGATTTTGTCATCAGGATAATGTTAATTTTCTAAATAATTTTGAAAGCTTTGCAAGTGTTTTAGTATTGCAAAACAGTTAATATAGTATAAGAAACATATGAAAAGTTATCATAGTCTACCATCTTACTTGGAAGAAAATCTGCAATGACTTATTTTGTCATCTTCCTTCATATTTTGATCTGTTTAGTTTTTTTCTAAATCTTGTTTGTGTCAATGTTGTAATTTCTATTTAGAAACTGATCATTCGGTCATTTTTCTTTATAAATTTACACAAAGTATCATTTTTTTGTTTCACTTCCTCTCTTAGTTTACATTACTATTACTTTAGCCCTATTCTTTGTATATTCCTTGCTCATTCTACCTTAAATTTCAGCCAGGGTCCCATTTCCAATTAGAAGCCAACTTCATGTTTTTGCAGCTCCTAGAATACCCAAAGAAATCAATCAATATCCTATCTAGCTTCCATACTCAAATGAGAATGACTTTATATTATGTCAGCAGTCATTCTATTTCATTCTGCCCTGAAGCTCACCCTAACGAGAACCGCAGGGCATGAGGTTTCACTGAGTCCTCAAGCCCAGAGAAAGCCCTCTTAACTCTTCAGGCTTTATAGTTTTCTAAATGAAATGCTCTGACCAAGCTAAGGGCTGAGTCCCTAAAGACCCCCAAGCAATGGGATCATCTGGAGCTGGAGACCTCACTTCATATCAGTGACTGTATAGTAGGATTGGATTTAGTAAGTTAAATCTACATGCACTAGAAGTAACAACCACACTAGAAATACATGTGTTTATTTGTTGTCAAACCTTTTTATGTTTCAGAAGCTGCAAAGATTTTCACAACAGTTTTTTTTTTTTTGAATTATTTTATTGGTAAGGATACCGAAGCTCAAAGAGGTCTAAGTGACATTCTCACGTACATCTTCCAGTCAAGGCCAGAGCCTGAATTTAAACCTGTATCTCATGACTCATTGTGCATTTCTCTTCCCACTATATCCTGCTTGGTTTTCATGAAATTCATCATTTTTATAGTCATGGACTTCAGCTTCTGACATGTGAATGAAGAGAATCCCCATGAGAAAGAAAAGTATTTAAGGTAGTTACTAGGGCCACCTTTTCAAACTTTTTTCTCACCTTAGGACTCTTGTAGTATCAGTGGGGTTTAAATGTGAGAATTTTTTGTTGTACTTTTCCTGTGGCAAAAAATAGAGTGATTATTTTGGAATCTTTGAGCTCTGCCTTCTAATGTGGTGTACATTATGACTAATAAGGAAAATGTAGTAGAGGATTACACGTAGAGGATTTTAACAAAAATATTCCAGTGTTTACTTCTGTTTTGATCTTATCATTCCACTGAATGATCATGGAAGATCCTCTTGGGGTTAAATATCAATAGCTTTTAGGGTTAAGCATCCTAAGTGCCCGCTCTCTTATCTGTTTTGTCCTGACCCCATAGATTCCAGGGTTAAGGGCAGGGGGAAAAACCACATATACATTGGCCAGAAGTATGGGGATATAATGAGGGATGTTGTGGCCAAAGCAGTGTGTCATGAAGGAGAAGAGTGCTGGCAGGTAGAAAGCCAACATTAAGCAGACGTGGGAGCCAAATGTCCTGAGTGCCTTGAGGCGGGCATCCCAGGACGGGAGGTAGAAGACTGCTCTGAGGATTTGGACATAGGAAAATCCAATCACAGAAAGGTCAATATATCCCATGGAAAAAGCAATCAAGCCATAGAAAGCACTGACCTTAATACTGGCACAAGCCAACTTTGCCAAACCCAGGGGTTCACCATAGGTGTGGGGGATGATCTGGGCATCACAGAAAGGAAGGCTTAGGATAAGGACTCTAAAAGGAGACACACACACCAAAGTCCGGACCATGATGACTGTGCCCAGGATGGCTATCACCTTATTGGTGAGTATCATGCTGTATCTCAGGAGGTTGCAGACAGCAATGTATCGGTCTATGGCCACGACTGTCAGCACCGCAGACTCCAGGCCAGTGCATATATGGATTGTGTACATCTTGTGATGCAAGCACCAAACACAATCTCCCTGAGATTGAACCAGAAAACACCCAGCATCTTGGGGATGGTGGCTGTAGACAGGCCAAGGTCAGTGCAGGCCAACATGCCAGGAAGTAAAACATAGGCTGGTGGAGGCTGCGTTCAGTCTGGATCACAAACAGGATGGTGACATTTCCCATGAGGGTTATTGGATACACTGCAAAGAAGGGGGAGCCAATCCAGATGTTCACATTTTCCAGCCTTGGAATCCCTATCAGAAGGAAGGAAGAAGGATGGAACTGTATATTGTTGGGGTGCAGCATATCTGTGGGAATTAGTTATAGACACATTTTTTGCAGGAGTTTTCTTGCTTCCAGCGAGAGAACATAACCTCTTTCAGAGCATGTTGCCTAGTTTCTGGAGGAATAGAAAATCTATTCTTTAATTCCATGATACAGCAGAGGAGACCTAGAGAGTGAAAAAGAGCCAGAGTTAAAAAGACACTCTCACTTCAAAGTATTTGCCTCACCTACACAGAAAACCATGTAGAAAATTTCCAAAAACGCAATTCTGCACTTCACTTCTTATGGCTTTTTTCCCTTCAGTCTCTAAGGAAGAACCTACATATGGCTATAAAATAACAAATATTTATTAATTATATCTGTTAATCATGATGTAAAGCCTAAGCAAGATGGGGTGTGTGTGTGTGTGTGTGTGTGTAAAATCACAGGACTTAGATTGAGGTGGAGGGTTTAGGGGAATGATACATTCTTGCAAAATAGTCCTGAAAATTAAGAAGATGGTATGTGGATGAATAAACAACAAGTTCCTATGTATAGCACAGAGGACTCTATTTAATATCCTGTGATAAACCATAATGGAAAAGAATATGAAAAAGAATATATATATGTATAACTGAGTCACTTTGCTGTACAGCAGAAATTAACACAACATTGTAAATCAACTATACGTCAATAAAATTTTAAGAAAAAGAACAAGGAATTGCTAAGTGAAAAACAAAAAAGAAGATGGTACATGGGAGGGAACCCAGTAAAGGTGGTGGATTGAATAGCTGGTGTTGGGATCTGAGCTAAGGAATGGAATTAAGAAATTTTGACATATTGGGAGACTATTCTATAATTCCAGCGGAACAATAGTCTCTCTCAGAACTATAAAGTCTTATTACTTTTCCCTTCTAGCACCCATCACCAAATATTTCTTAGCTCAGATTTAATGACATACTATCCAGAAAGCCTTCCCCAGTTGGCTTATTTCATGATTATTTATTCTTTTCATTATTTTCCAGAGGTCTGTTTATCTTGCTGTTACGTTAGTTATCATTGGGTATCAGTGGTTCTTTTTTTTTTTTTTTTTGCGGTACGCGGGCCTCTTACTGTTGTGGCCTCTCCTGTTGCGGAGCACAGGCTCCGGATGCGCAGGCTCAGCGACCATGGCTCACGGGCCCAGCCGCTCCGTGGCATGTGGGGTCTTCCCGGACCGGGGCACGAACCTGTGTCCCCTGCATCAGTAGGCGGACTCTCAACCACTGTGCCACCAGGGAAGCCCATCAGTGGTTCTTAAAGTGTAGTCCCCGGGCCATGGGTATCAGCATTATCTGGTAATTTATTATAAATGCTAATTATTGGACACTACCCCAGACTCACTATATCAGAATCTCTGGGGCTGGGACATAGTAATATGCTATTGAACCCTCCAGGTGATTCTGATGCTCATTCTAGCTTAAAAAAAACACTGCTAAATTTTTACCACTAGGGTACAATCTCTTTGAGGTCAAAATCAGTCAGATTTATCTCCATGGTATACTTTATATAGTGATAGGCAGTGATCAGCAATAATTAGCAAATGAAAGTTAAAAGTTTACTGGAAACAATCTTTCCAGTTATTGTATACAAGGTCCTAGATAAATACAAACTGGGTTATAGAATAGCGTGTAGAAGGATTTTGGAGGAGATCTCTGAGGAATTATACTTGTAAAAAACTAGTAATGTATGATTGGGTCAAAGGAGAAGCTGACTCACCGTGAGGCTGCATCTGGGGCCTGCATGATACTATGGGAAGCTCCTGTGCTGGAATGGCCCTTCTGTGTTATCCCATAATGAGGCAAGGAAGCCAGTTATTTGTACTCCCATGGTATCCTGTCATTGGTGGAGGATTACCCTGTGTGATAGGACAAAACTTTGGATAAGGTAGTTCCTTGGGTCTGAGGACAATTCCAGGGAGGGGTGCAGATGTGAGCTCCCAGTATCTGATATTCCCAGCAGCTGGGAGATAGGTACATAGGTCCTGAAAAGCAGATCTGGGAGGTGTGTCATAGGGTATACTACAGATGGCATTGTGCTTCTACTCTCTCGGCGGTATCTTCTCCTTCAGTCTTGGGAAACTTACTTTCTTCTTACTCATTTGTCTGCATTTAAACCTCACACCTTACTTTGTCTTCTTTCTCTACCCGCAAATGTTTTCTTGTGTCAGAGGCAAAGTTTTAATTTGCTCCTAGATATGGCTTGGAATAAAATTCATGTTTACTCTTAGTTAAACAAAAAATTCTTCTTAGATATAATCCCCACTCCTAAGGCACACACACACATGCAGTCATGCACACACACACACACATTTTGATATACTGCAGAAAGGCTTAACAAATTTTGGTTCGTTCCAAGCAACTTGCCTTAGAATGCATGCTCTGTTTTTGCTTTTTCTGGACTTGAGACTGAATCCCATGCAGTCCTCATGACTCCATCTTTCCTGTCATCTGGAGACCAGAAATAACTAAAAATTTTTGCATGTGGCATGCAAACTGGAGAATAAGAAATCCCTCATTTATTAACATCCTTTTGATCTTCATAAAATGTTCTTGTCTCTCAGCTTACGCGGGCCTCTCACTGTTGTGGCCTCTCCTGTTGCGGAGCACAGGCTCCGGACGCGCAGGCTCAGCGGCCATGGCTCACGGGCCCAGCCGCTCCACGGCATGTGGGATCTTCCCGGACTGGGGCAGGAACCCGTGTCCCCTGCATTGGCAGGCGGACTCTCAACCACTGCGCCACCAGGGAAGCCCCTACATTATATTTTGAACTAAGTCTTCAAAATATGGTGTGTATTTTATATGTACGGCACATCTCAATTCAGACTAGGCATGTCTGAATTGTTCAACAGCCACTGGAGCCTCTTGGCTATCATAGTGGACAGCCAGATCTTGATATTCAACTCCTTGATATACATTCCATCCTTACAGCCCCCTCATCATAATTTCTTTTACAGTTAGCTCAAAAAGCATATAGCATCCCTCTCCCCAAGACAAAGTGCTCATGCACAAGCTGTTCATGTTTGCTCATAAAGAAAAGGAGGTATGGAGAAGCTAGAAGAAATCATTCTCTTCCTAAAAGTGCTTCATATTGATTATTTTCTTTTTACATTTTCCTCCCATTCTGACAGAAAAATCTATATTGGACTGATCATTTTCCTCTTCTCTCCTGTTTTTACTTCAGTGTGTTTAGATTTTTTTTTTTTCAATCACTACCTTAGAATTTTTTTTTTTTACTACCTTAGATTTTTAAGATCCATGAAGTTTGTAGTAAAAACTGAAGTTAGAATCTTTTTTTAAAATTGAATTTAAAGCCACCCAAATTAACATTATAATGGATTTAGCACTCAATCCTATATGTACTTAGATTAAAAAAACAGCAATTTCTTTGCCCATGTATTGCATTTTATAAAACCTGATGACGTTACAAGAATGTAAAATTACAGGCCAATTTCTTTCATAAACAGAGATAAAAACAAAACCTAAACAACGTATGAGCAAAAACAAATCCAGTATTGCATATGAAGAATAACAGTGGTTTATTCCAGAAATCTGTGTTAGATTTAAAAATGGAAATAAATCAATGTATTCCAAGAACAGAATAAAAATGACGTGTGATTATCTTAATAATTACAGTGACAATATATGTTGAAATTCAACTTTCCACTCAGTACAAAAACTGACATCAAATTAATAGAAGAGAATTTCCTAAATTTGATTCCATACATCAACAAAGAAAAATCTCCACCAAATGCCATGCTTAATGGTAAAATGTTGAGGGAACAGTTCTGAGCTTTCTGAGATGCTCTTCCCAGGTTATAATCTTCAAATTTGACTCGAATAAAATTTTCCAATTCTTTCTTTTTTTAAAAAAAAGGGGAAAAATGTTGACAGCTACCCCTCACCCATCTCAAGATCTGTAATTAATCTGTCAAGGATGTTCACTGTTACCGCTGGGTTACTCAGCTCTAGCACTGAGTAAATGTTCAACAGGAAAGTAGTGAGAACACAGGAAAATCGGAGGTAAGAAAGGAGAAACTGAGATGCAGAAGAGCCTTGGAGTAGAGGGTACGGCTCAGATGGTGGGAACAGCAGAAAGTTCAAGAGCTTGGGCGGCGCAGGGTCATCGGGACTACACAGTTGCAAGGATTAAAATATGGACATAGGGTGGTAGGAAAGTAATACTTAGAGAAGGTGTAGATGGGGAAGCCGTGGTTGGTGACATTGTAAAAGGAGACCGTGCCGGCCTCATAGTCTAAGAACACCCCAATTCGGCGAGGGGGCACCATCATGGAGAGGAGCAAGGAGGTGGACGATTCCTCGTAGGCTCTGTATTCGTGCTTATGATGTAACCCAATCACCCAGTATCCACTTTGAGGCTGGTATCGGGAGTAAACATTCCGATTGTTCGCAAACTGGTTGAAAGAGAACGTAGGTCCCGTTGAATCACTGCACACCCCCAGGATCCAGTCAGTCTTCTTGGCCACGTCTACCTCCCAGTAATGCTTTCCTGAGGAGAAGTGCCGAGAGCCCAGGACACCACAGCCATAATGCTCTTCCAGATGAGACCCAGACAGCTGAGTGCCCACAAATCTCACCTGCCTCCGGTTCTTAGACAGGACGAGATTTAAATTAGCCGTGTGTGGATTCAGAGTCACATCCTCTGTGGGAGAAAGGTACAGCATCAGCAGATGAGAATGGGTATGTGGGTCTTATGACTCTGAGAAGAGGAAGCGAGGATATGGGTGGGAGGAATTGGAGCTAGGTGGTGGGGGGCTGGGTGGAAACAGCAACACCTCATACCTGAGAGTGTGTGTGTGGGTATGTTTGGCAAGGATAAGAACATGTCAGCTCAAAGAGGCCACAGTTTCTACTTACCCCAGTAGCTCTGGACATCTGTCAGCTCTGTAATGATAAAGAGTCAATCACATTATATAGAACCATCAGTCTCAGGTCTGCTGTCTCTCCCTTACCTGGCTGAGAGGTGTGGAAGGGAATTCTATAAGGATGTGAACCGGCCATTTCATTCCCCCTTCAGTATGACCTGCATCTTCTTCAGCACATTGTGTCCCTCCCTCTTTGATCTCTTTCTCTGACACTATTCCCAAATACCAACCCTACCCTTCATTCTTTTTATTTCCTCTACTACCATGATCCCTCATCCAAACGCTGTTCCCTGAAACTCCTCACCTCTAAACACTCGCAACATCTTTTTCAGATCTGGGGCTCGAAACATACTCTTCAGCTTGGTGGGGAGAACTTCTGGCTTCTTCAGGGTCCAGAGCTCACTCCTAGAGAGAACAGACATTATGAATCTTCAACACTGCTAACTTTGGGTGTCTCTAACACCTTCTCCTTCATCTCCCAGGCCCACTGGTGAACTTCAACACTCTTCCTTGAAGAAAATTAGCATCATTCTGCAAAGACCTCTGGCATAGGAGCCAGAAGAACTGGACTAAAAACTAGCTTCTCACCATCTGTGTACACACTGGTAAGATTTTCATTCTTTTTTTATTGGCTGTGTAGTATCTCTCTCTCTCTCTCTTTCTCTCTCTTTCATATATATATATATATATATATATATATATATATATATACCACATCTTCTTTATCTATTCATCTGTTGAGGGGCACTTAGGTCACTTCCACATCTTGGCTATCATAAATAGTGCTGCGATGAATACTGGGGTGAATATATCTTTTGTACAGAACAGGGAATATAGCCAATATTTTATAATAACTTTAAATGGAGTATAATCTATAAAAGTATTGAATCACTATGTTGTACATCTGAAACTAATATACTCTTGCAAATCAACTATATATACATCAATTAAAAAAAAAGTTCATAGGATTTATCCCGCAAAGTTCCTTTGTTTGGTTTGTTGTTGTTTTGTAAAATACAATAATTTTCCCTTCTTTCTCTGCATCCTAGAGACTGTATAATATTAAATAAAATAATGGCTGGGAAATCCTTTGCTACCTCTAAAAAAGATACAAAATACTTAAAATGTCAGCACCCTCTTAGAAGGCCTACAGGTAGCTGTGTTGACAGGCAGGACATCAGGACCTGCTGCTAGGGCTTTCAGAGTATCAGGTGAAGGGCTCCCTTAGAAGAGTCTGTGATTTAGGTCTCAAGGTCTTGCAGAGGCCTAGGGAGAAAAACCTTCAGAACAGCCTCTTAGGATTCTCGGTCTCTGGGAACATTACGCCAGTTGGAGAAAGGAAACGTCCTCACCTCCAAACTGAGAATAAAGACTTCCGAAGGGACAACACGCTCCATAGGTCATGTGTTCGTGAGGCGCTTCAAGGTACCAGGTATGTGGGCTACTTTAGGGGTCACCTTGATGAAAGAAATTCTAGAGTAGGTGATAGAGAAGAGAACATGTTTTTGTTTCAGGGCCAAAGCCACTCTTTTCAAGACCTCGGGTCTGTATTTTTACTGGAATTGAGAAAAATGGAAGACTGAGGAGAACTAGGTAGCAAGGCATGGCCTGTTCCAAAGCCAAGGGGGAAAGGGAAATTTAAGCAGCTGTCCCAAGAGCTGATTTCTGGACCTTGGAAAAAAAAGCAAATGGGAAATTTCCCTCTGATAAAGTATGTGGGCAAAGAAAATCCCTGCGTATTTTGAGGTAGCTATGAGATACTAGAATCAGGACTGGAAGCAGGTACAGAGGTTTGTGGAAAAGGAGTTCTATCACGAGGTACATGGGGAGTCAGTGATATGGTAATCCTTGATTCTTAAGAACACTACTGTTCCAATTTGTGACCTTCTGCCACTCAAATTCTCCTACCATTGAAACCAAGTCATTCCCTTTACTTTGGGGGACCCCAAATTCTCACGAAAAGCCACTCAAGACACCACAGTCCTAAATCTTCCCTGCTTTGTGATTTTTTTTTCTTTTCCCACTGACCACAAGATAACTCTATGGGTACAGGAGTCTTTTGTCAACCCAAGGGAACCACGTCATGTTCTACACATACCTTTTCGCGACATCACTCACATCCTAGGAAAGAAAGAGACAGGTTAAGTCAAGGGTAATAGGACTTGTCCTCTACTACAGCCTCATCCATGTCCCTCATCCCATTCTCACCACCCCATGATGACAGAGGTAGAGATGATCCAATATGGAGGCCACAAAGTAAAGATAAGAGCTGAAAGCAGACTCTCCCTGAGACCCTACGTAGGGATGTCAGGAAATGATTCAATTCATTCATTAGTACCTTTATTTTTACAACAGAGTGTGTGTGTGTGTGTGTGTGGTGTTATATATGTACCTCATCTTTTATTTGCCAGGCACTGTGCCTGCTTCTAGATGCTCTCACATGACTAAGTCCTGATTTCTGTCCTCGAGATGCTCACATTCTGGTTGCTGAGGACACAAGGGCCATAAAATGTGGTTGTTTCTCAAATTCCACCTCCCATAACCCTCTATGCTACCTTTTCTGACTTTGTGTATTTTTCTTGATTTCAACACACACATGTGTTGATGATTCCTAAATCTGTACTTCTGCTTACATCTCTTTTATATACCCCTCACATAAGCCACGGGCACCACAAATTCAAGATATCTGAAAGAAAACTTACCTTTCCTGCAACCATGAGGTCTCTTCTGTTATCTTCCATCTTCCTCAATGATCCCAGCATCCAGTCACCAAATGTAGACAAAGTACTGTCCTAAAAACTACCTGACATTCCATCTTAGACCAAGCCAGTGCATTTCACACCCTTACTGCTCTTTATCATCATCACTGCCACTGCCTGCCTCATTTGAGTAGAATTGTCTCATGGCCTCCGAATTGGTCTTCCTAACTTCTGCTCTATACACCTCAATGCAGCAGAAGGAAAGGCCAATGGTTTGATCTGTGTAACATAGGAATAACTACTTTCATGGTATTGGAGCTATTTTTGGTTGTATTTGACAAAAATACAACTCAAACTGGCTTGCATATGTAAAGTGGTAGAGGTGGATCCAGGATTGTATCAATTTTAAGGCATACTTGTAATAAGGAACTCAAATGATCAAATCAGGGTGATACTTCATGCCTCTTCCTCTTAGCTTTACTCTCAGGGTTCACATTTTGAAACTGGAAAGCTGCAGGCTTGCATCCAGCTGTCAAATCTTAATGGGTAACCATGTCAAACAAACATGGAAAAGAGAAGGAGGAAGTGTCTGTGATGGGCAAGTTCTGGAAAAATTGACTGTGAGATAACACTCTAGTTAAAATGACCATTGGGCAGTCATACTAACTAGTGGGTAGAAGAGTCTAGACAGGTGCCTGGACTAGCCATTACATAAATTGATGATCCATTTGCACTTACGAAGCAATTTTTCCAGTTTGAAGAGACTTGTAAAGGGGCTAGAACAAGTGGGGGAAGGAGCAAGCATTAAGGCAACCCAACATCAAAGATGAAGAAAAAAGCAAGAAGAATAAACTGAAGTTGTGAAACCAGAAGCAGTGAATGAGGAAAATCTCCAACAGGTGGAAAATAACTACCCCATGACCCCAATACTAGGGCCCAAGTATAAGTAAAGAAATTATTATTCCACCAGGAAAGGGAGCAAGAGGAAAGCAAGAAAGCAAACAGAAAATAAGGAAGAGCCTGAAGGTTCCAGAATGTCACAAGGTACATCCTGCTTCAACTTAATAGTCACACTATTCACTCTATGAAGCCAACAGCTGCTCAGATTTCAACCTCAGTTCAAATCTCTCCATCAAATCTCTTTGGATTTGACAGCTTGCATCCACCCAATCCACATACACACACAGACCAGAGCTCATTGTCTGTGCCTCAAAAATCCTGTTCAAACTTCTATTACAACATGTTCAATGATTCTGCCCTAGAGAAGAAAGTGAAGCAAAGAAGGACTGGTAATTACATAAAAATTCTCTAAGTACTTGAGTTTGGTATGTGTTTGCCTGTGACTAAGCTGAGTGAAAAGCACCTGACCAATCCCAACACGGCATCAGAGACAACGGGTACCTAATGGCCAGTGATTCTCAACAGGGGGAGGGAGGATAAGTTCTCCCCAGGGTCATTTGGCAATGTCTGGAGGGTTTTTTTGTTGTCACAGCTAGTTGGATGCTACTGGCATCTAGAGGGTAGAGGCCAGGGATGCTGCTGAACATCCTACAATGCACAGGGCAGCCCCTCACAGCACAGAATCCTCTAGCCCAAAAGGTCAATAGTACCAAGATTGAGAAATGCTGCAGTAAAACATCACTCGATCTTTTACATTGTATCAAATGAACTTTTGGACTATCCTTTATACATAAGAAATAAAAATGAGACATTCCTTTAGCATTTGTACTTTTAATTATCCTATGCTTTATCCATGAACTTTGAACTGTTTAATAGGGAAGAGGCACTACAGGGTCAAAGGAAATTTTTTTCCTTCCCCCACCAAGATAAGGAGTCCCACATCAGAAAGGAAGGAAAGTTAGTCTCTCTTTGCCTTGACTGTCAGACCTTGGGCTCCTTTGCGATTCCTACCTGCAGCAGCTCCGTTGTTGACCCCTGACACCGGCGCTCCAGGTCTGAGATGAGCTCTCTCAGGGACTGGCTCTGCTGCATCAGCTCACCCTCAGCTTCTGCGATGATGTTCAGCCCCTTCCTCTCCTCCTCCTCCAGCTTCTTCAGCTGCCGCTGCTCCTCTCTGTCCAGGATGCTCCTCAACTGATCAAACTGCTTCTGGATCCTGTGTCTCTCAGGTTCCATCTGATTCTTCAGGAACATGGAAGAGAAAGAGGTTGCTAGTCTGTTGAGCTGAGGGTCTCCTGTATAAGAGGTTGGGGAGGCAGGCTCTATACTGCTTTCCTGGCAGGTCTCACTGGGGGGGAATGAGCAAATGGGGGAGTAAGTCCTGCAGAACCTGCTCTCTTCTCCTATTCTCCCTTCAGCTCTTCTCAGACCATTGGCCCCAGGCTGTCTTATCTAGGCTTCTGAGATAGAGACTTTGATTCCTAGGTGGGATTTAGATTCCAAGCAGCCTCTCTGGCCTCTCAGGACTCACCATCAGCCTCCCCTTCCAGTTTTCGATATTGAGAGTGGCCTGTGCATGACCTATTTTTCCAAATTTCAGAGCTCGAAACTATAGAACAAGGTCCAGAATCAGGAATTAAGGGCTGCCAATGGCCATGGTTCCTCTCCCATGATTGTCTTCAAAAACCTAGATTCCCTTTGATATGTTCGTTTTCTAACTCCCCCTTCTCTCTCCCTGGCTCTGCACCAAGAACAATACCCTTGTTTGGAAGGGTTGCAGTGAAGGACAGGCAAAGGGAAGCTCTTCTAGCTAAATCAGGGAACAGACAGAACTAGGTCCCCTTTGCCCTCGGCTCCCACATCCTGCCCTGATTCCCGTCCCAGGACACCTTCAGAAGAATCTCTCTTACCTTCCAGGATGCCCTCTTCTCTCTGATAACAGCTGTTAGTTTCTCAGCTTCCTGCTGCTCTTGCCTCAGCTTCTTCAGAGACTCCTGGAACTTCTCCTGGAAGAAACACATCAAGTCAAGCAGGATCAAGTGTCAAATTGTTTCAGTGTGGAGACATGGAATGAATGGGGGAGAGATTATTATGCTGACCTCAGGAGATGCCTGTCCCGGAATGAAAAACTGAGAAGGTCAAAGTTATCTTTTATAAACAGGGGATAGAAACCACTGGGAATAGGCTGATTCTCTTTTCTCCAGGGGAAAGAACCTGACCATGAACCACTTTAAGTCCTTTACTCTCACTGCCAACATATCCCCTGAACTCAACCTGCCCTGCCCGCTACTGGCCCCGAGCAGCATCCTCCACTCATTCAGAACCAATCATGAGCAGCGAGAAAGAGCTACATCTCTGCTCTTGGCCAGAGGGGCTTTTTCTAGGTTCATCCTCTACATAAATAGGTGGACTACAAAGAAATTAGATTAGAGCATAAAGAAAAGTTAATAATCTACCAAGGAGTCTGTTCCCACCTGCCTTCCCTCCATCTGGGCTCCCACCTGGTACTCCTGGGCCACCTCTTCCATGAGGAACGTGTGGTGACCACGGTGCTCCTGGGACCTCTCGCACAGCCAGCAAATGAGCTTCCCATCCTCCTTACAGAAGAGCTGGAGTTTCTCTCCATGGTGTGCACAAAGAACCACCTTCAGCTGCTTCCCCAAGCCCAACACCACCTCCCTGAGCCTGTCCGCTATGTTGGCCAGGTGCCGATTGGGTCGCAGGTTTCCAGGCTGGTAGCTGGTCTGGCACACAGGACAGCTGCTCTCTTCTTCTTGGCCAATACCCAACTCCTTGCTATCCCCCGTGATGCAGGCTTGGCAGAAGCTGTGTCCACAGTCTATGCTCAGGGGTTCTGTCAGGAGCTCCAGGCAGATGGGGCAGGTCACTTCGTCCTGGATGTCCACCAGGACTGCTGAAGTCATTGTAGCCACTCTCCTGGCTCCTGCCTGCCCAGCCCTGACTTCTAAGGTGTTTCTTGTGTATAGAATCCTGGGTAGATGGCCAAAAAAAAGGGTTCAGGGTAAGAAATGAGGCAGACAAAGGCAGGCTGACTGTTCTGGATAAACAGGTCAAGCACCTGGGGTAACAAGAGCTTCTCATTCTAACTTCAAGCATGTTCTTTGCCCCTGCTCACATTAGACAGCAATTTGCACTCTCATTAGAGCAATGATCACGGTTTCCTTTTACTCCTACTGGATGAAGGGACAATGATGTGCTGGAGAGCAGTGGCCTTGGGTAGGGCACTGTCTGTTTAACCTTTTCTCAGCCCACCAAAACACATCCTCAATGTCCAAAGCACCAGACATGCTGCTGCCTCAGGATTTTTGCACTTGCTGTTCCTGCTGCAAGGAAGCCCCTTCACCCTGGTATCTGCATGGCTCTCTGACTTCATTCAACTCTCTCCTTACCTGTTTTATCCGAAGAGTTTGCTCTGTCAAGCCTAGCTAAGGCGTGGCCACCCACACCATCACTCTCAGTAGACTTACCTGCTTGATTTTCTTTCTCACCACCTAATATGGATCTTTAATTGTTTGAATATTCCCACTGGAATATAAGCTCCATGAGATCAGAGACTGCTTTTGTTCATTATTGGACTAGCTCAGTGTCCAACACACAGGTCCTCAACTTTTGATGAAGAAAACTCTAGAACCTCCTCATCCCTCCATAGATGTTTAGACCTTTCTCATGAGCTCCTTCACCTCTCTTTCACATGGTGCTGGCATTGCTCTCCAGGATCTAATCTCCAAGATCAAAAGTATCATTTATTGTGACGACACGTCTACCTTCTAACAGCTCTTTACAGAGCCCTTTCATCTCTCATGGTCACCTTCCCCAAAAAACCCAAAGAAACAAAAATGACCACAATAAGGTGATGTTATATCTTTACAATTAACACTTGTATAACCAGTTGTGATTTAGAAATCATATTGCCCTGTTTTCTTTATCTCTCATAGGAAAACTCTGAATTAATAAGAGTATTTTTAGCCTCTTGATAAAGAAATAGAGACGTAAGTGACTTTATAAAATCACACATCTTATAAAATCATAGATGTGTTCTAATAAGAACCTGCTGTATAAAAAAATAAATAAAATAAAATTCAAAAATTAAAAAAAAATTATGCTTCGAGGTAGGGTCAGTATACCCATTTTATAGGTAAAGAAACCTGGACATGGAGGTTGAATCAGCTCTACTGTGAACTGAGAGTGAAAGGGGTTGCCCAAAGAAAACCAAGAGACTTGTGAGAAGAGAAGGGACAGTGGGCAGGTGAAACAGTGGATGTTTGCTATGTCTACTAGTTGTCCCTCAGCTACCGCCCCTGATTCATTCTGTCTGGTATTATGGTTAGGTGTTTTCATGTGTATCTACCCTCAGATTGAGAGCCCCTGAGAACTATGTATCTGGACTATTTGTTATCATTGTATCTCCTGGAGGACCCAGGACAATCCTCCGAATATAGTATATGCTCAATAAATGTTTCTTGACATTATTGTTTCATTAAACTAGTTTAAACCAGAAAAAAAAAAAAATGTAGAGTTGGCAAAACCTATCATGTCCAGAGTCCTAGTTCAAAGCTCTGTCCTCAAACCTCATAACTTTAACCAAAGACGGTGGTGAAGGTGGTCAAAGTCAGGCACAGACCTGGTGCTTTGGGAGAAGAGATTTCACCAGGCCTGTCCAAAACTCTGTGCCTGTGTGTGGGGGACAGAGGGGACAGGTGGGAGAGTCGACGCCACATATGTTCTAGCGAGAGTTCACAGAAAAACGACCTGAGGCAGTGGTATGCTGGTGGAATGGTCGGGACAAAGAGGTCTTATAGCATTTGGGGAAAGTATTTCAGAATCACTAATAGGAGAAAAGTATAAAAATGGAGGAAAAAGAGGAATGAAGTATCAACACATGTTATAACAAGATTGAGCCTTGAAAACATTATGCTAAGTGAGTGAAGTCAGATACAAAAGATTACACACTGTATAACTCCATTTACAGGAAATATCTAGAGTAGGCAAACCTATAGACGTGGAAAGTAGATGAGTGGTTGTCAAGAATTGGTGGGAGAGGGAATGGGAAATAACTGCTAATGAGTCTGGGGTCTCTTTTGGGGGTGATGAAAATATTCTGGAATAAGATAGTGGTGCTAGTTGAAAAACTTTGTGATTTTTCCAAAACAATGAATTGTATACCTTTAAAGGATGAATTTTATGGTCTGTGAACTATATCTCAATTTAAAAAAAATTGTATGAGAGGAAAATAAGAGGGAGAAGCTATCTTGTGACTTCTGGTTCAGAGCTGTCCCAACCCCACAGCTTTTACACAAGGCATGCTGTGGGAGAGGATCTAAGAGTCAAGCACAGTGCTATAGTTGGTATGGGGAGATAACGGTGAATGAAATATATACTCTATGAGGAGGTGTACCATTCAGACTTGGAGCAAGAAACACATCCATTTTTGAACACATAGCAAAGACAATCATCATTAATGCAAGCAAGTATATATGCATGCAGGTATTTGTTTCAAGGAACAGTGGAAGGTAGAAAATAATCAGAGACCATCTTCTGATCGCTTTTTATGTGAGGTAATGGCTGAACTCTTTACAGGTAGTATATTGATGTAATCCAATCCCACAATAACTCTATAAGATACATTTAATAACACCTATTTTACAAATGTGAAAAGTGAACTTCTTAAAAAGGTATTCAATTACCAAAGGTCTCAGAATGAATAAGTGACAAAGTAAAGGTTATAATCTAGTTTTATGCAAATCCAAACCTCAGGTTGTTGTCTGGTCCTTAAAGGAAGAGAATGTTTCCTTTATGCCCCCCCACCCCAACCTGCAAGGGTGCTCAGGTCACAAAGTGGCTCAGCTTCTTTCTACCCACCTCCTGACTGGTGCTTGTCTCATTTTTTGGGCTGCATTGATTCAGCATAATAGTCTCCTTCTTCCTGGCATTTGAAGGCATCCTACAGCTCTTCCTAAGCTATGTGTAGGCTCCTTCTCCAGCCCTGTTCTGCTTCATTCCTGGTGGCACATCCCCAGGACTCAGGCTGCTTCCCTTGCCCTGGCAGGGTGAGGTGAGAAGAGAAGGCACTGACACTGGAGTAACACAGACACAGGTCTGAATCCTGAATTTATCTGTCTCTAGTTCTGGAACACTGGGGTAATTCCTGATCTGAGATGTGGTTTAATGTTTTGTGTATTGCTGATAACAAGTCCTCCCTTATAGCACGCTTGTGATAAATTATCTGAGCCAATGTGTAGAAAAGTCTCAATAAAAACTAGTTGTCACTACATTTATACTGTCATTGCTCTTCAATCCTTCAGTGCTCTGCCCTCTTACCATGAGGAAAAGAGCCTCTTCAGTATTTTTACCAGAAATAGGGATAGAGCAGAGTCTGGTGGATGAATAGCTCTATATAAATATCTGTATAAGAATGAATGCATCACTTTCTCACCCCCTTTCATATCTTCTTCCTTGTTTTGGACCTAGGAGAAAAATCCACTACCTCAATTCATAACAAGATTTAATAAGATGGCATTTAAGGACAATGTGAGAATGCTGGACTTTACCCAGTAGTTTCTGTGTGCCTGGCATAAATAAGGGTCAGTTAAGAAAGCTAGTAGCTTCTCTGACAAGACAACTAAAGATGCTGGAACTAACCCTAACTTTATTTTTTGTCTGGGCTGAATTAATATGTATGTCCCCACTGAAAAACATCTTATTCTCATTCTTGAAAGTTTTCAGTCATTAAATTATATTACTGTTGTCTTAAATCACATAATTTTTTTCTGAATTTTATTTTATTTATTTACTTTGTATACAGCAGGTTCTTAATAGTTATCTAGTTTATACATATTAGTGTATATACGTCAATCTTAAATCACATAATTTTTTAAAGACATTTAAGATTACTTATTTATTTTTACTATTCCAGCATTGAATTACTCATTGGAAGCCATATGCTCCGTTTGCCTAGCTGGAGTCTGGTTTGGGCCACCAAAGAAGAGCCAGCTGACAAATGCACTGCCTAGTTGGAGGCACACTACCCCAACCCCAGCTGCGACCCTTGTGTACAGGATAGGCCACAGGGTGACTGAGAGCAGATATAATTCCACAGTGTTTCTTTGTCTGGCCCCCCCTTCAAAGGCAGATGTACACTGATGTACAGCTTGGTCAGTGTGGGCATAATTAAAGAACACAAGGTCTGTCAGCAGTAGGGAAGGGATGGGGTTAAACGAAGGTGTGCTTTGTTTCACAGAAACTAACCACTAAGTTGCATAAAGTTCCAAACACCAGATGTTTCAAAAAGGTTACAGTGCATTCCAATCAACAAGCTATCACAGTATAAGCAAACACCCAAGCACTTGCTTGCTTGCAGTTTTTGGCAACCTAGAGAAACCCGTACTACATGGAAGATCATGCCTGCCCCTGCATGAACACGCACGTATCCCAGACATAAAACTTCCCTGATCCAGCTGTTCGGAAAGACAGTACTTTGAGAGCTATCTCCCTGTCTCCTTACTGGTCGCAAGTAAGAAATGCTTCTACTTTAATCAAAAGTACTTGGTGTGTCCATTGGCTATGCACCCCAAGTGACTGGACCATTGAGTCTAGTAACAGGTCCTGTAACTGTCACCAATTTTCCCCTCCTGAGTGCGTGGTAGGATAAAAAATATCAAATTGCCTCTCAGTAACAAGAAGCCCTTACAGGAGAAAGGCCCTGAGAAACTGTCCCAGACTAAGAAAACAGTCTGTGAGATACAGCATAGATGAGCAGGGTGAGTATAGGGCATTGCTGGGGATCGAGTGAGCTGTAAACATGACCTCAATGAGTATTACCAACCAAGAAAATGGATGTACTGATACATACAACAAAATAAATCTCAAAAACACTATGCAAAGTGAAAGAAGCTAGACAGCAAGGATAAGTTGCTGTATGATTCCATTTATACGAAATACTAAAAAAGACAAAACATTACTATTTGAGATCAGATTAGTGGATACCAGGGCCCAGGGCTGTGAGAAGGGGATCAATTGCAAAGGGACACAAAAAAATTTGGGAGGGGGTGACAGAAATCCCCTATATATATCATGATTGTGTTGTCTGGACAACTATATACAAGTCAAAACTCACGGAGTTGTATGCTTAAAATTGCTAACTTATTAAATGTAAATGATAACTCATTAGAGCTAACAAAAACAAAATAGAAGAAATGCAATGAGAAAAACTGAGGCTTGGCTTTTTTGATCTTCTAAGCACAAGTAATACCTGTGTTGTCAAATATGGTAGCCACAGGTGGCTACTGAGCACTTGAAATGTGGCTAGTTGGAAATGAGATGTTTTAAGTATAAAACACACACTGGATTTCAAAGATTTGGTAAGAAAAAATAATCTAAAACATTTCATTAATGGATTTTTTTCTAAATATATTTTGGAAGCATGAAGTTAAATATATTAAAATCAATTTCATCTGTTTCTTCTAACATTTTAATAAGGCCAATAGAAAAATTCAAATTATGTATGTGGCTCTATTATATTTCTCTATTACTTTTCCATCTAATGCTCTACTTGAGATATTCAAGGCAGAGAAGGAATCTTGAACAGAAAAGATTATGTAAGAGTTGATGTCTCTTGTTAAGGCTGGGAAAGGGAGCGAGGGGAACAGAGTTGGCTAACATTCAGTTAGAAAGGGTTTGCGTAGCCCTGCTCACATGCCAGCAGGCGCTTGACCACTGCTACTCCTGATCGCAGCCCAGAGGACACAAGAAAAGCCAACAGAGTCCCTGACTAAGGACACATCTCAAGAGCAGTGTGGGTGGCAGAAAGATAAGTCTGGCTGTGTGAGGAGCGCAGATACCAGACCTTAAGGGGAAGAACCTTGAAGATCAAATTAGCAAATGAAAGAGGCCAAATTCACTACTAGGACCAGTTAAATCAGAAGCAGATGCCAGAAAAAGGCCGTGCGGTCTGCTAACTAGCCTCGCTGGCGTCCAGTGGAGCTCTTTATGCAGAATCTCTAGACCTCACCGAGACCAATTCAGTATCTGCGCTTTAATAAGATCTCAGGTAATTTGTATGCACATTAAGGCCTCAGAAGCATTGCCTTAAACACAGGAGCCTTCTTCCCAGGTAAATGCAATTTAGGGTGCAAAATAGAAAAGGGGGGGGGTGGGTGGGGGAGGCCAAAGAACGGACTGATATGTAGATCTGAAGCATCTTTTAGA